ACACGAGCATCAAGTTTTGAGGTTGAAGAAGGCTTTATATGGCCTAAAACAAGCTCCTAGGTCTTGGAACAAAAGGATATATTTATTTTTGACTAGTATTGGATTCAGAAAATGTACTGTAGAGCATGGTGTGTATGTGAAAAGTACAAAACCCGATGCAATAGTTATAATTTGTCTTTATGTTGATGATCTGTTGGTAACAAATAGAGATATAACTGAGATAGCTGAAATCAAGAACAAGCTGAATAATGAATTTGAAATGACTGATTTAGGTGAGCTGACTTTCTTTCTTGGGATTGAATTCACTCACACCAAACAAGGGATTCTGATGAATCAAAGGAGGTATTTGTCATAAGTATTGAAGAGGTTCAATATGGCATCTTGTAAGGCAGTTGATACCCAAGTAGAGACACATTTCAAGCTGGATAGTTGTGAACAACAACCTAGAGCTGATGCAACTTTGTATAGACAACTAACCAGGCGTCTGAGACTCTTGTGTCATAGCAGAACTGAGATCTTGTTTGGGGTAGGATTGGTGAGTAGGTTTATGGATGATCCTAGACAGTCTCATCTAATAGCTGCAAAAAGGGTACTCAGGTACCTAAAAGAGACATCAGATCATGGTGTGTTGTTTTCTCAAGGAAGTAGAAATGGTGCAAAAGAGCAAGGTTTGCAGCATCTAGTCTCATACTCTGATTCAGACCGGTGTGGGGACAAAACTGATAGAAGAAGTACTATGGGGTTTGTTTCTTCTTAGAAAACACTTCTATATCCTAATGCTTAACTAAGCAAGACGTAGTAGCACTATCCACTAGTGAAGCAGAGTATATTGTAACTTATTATGCTACTTGCCAGGGTATATGGTTACTGCAATTGTTGGAAGAACTGAATCAGAAGTTTGCTTCAGAGATTGAGTTGTTTGTAGACAACAAGTAAGCCATTGATCTGTCTAAGAATCCTATCTCTCATGGGAGAAGCAAACACATGAAACTTGATTTCATTTTCTTAGAGATCAAGTAAAGAATGGCAAGATTAATCTGAAGCATTGCAGCACAGAACTTCAGATTGCAGATGGACTGACTAAGGCGTTAAAGACTACTAGCTTTGAAGATTTCAGGAAAGCTTTGCAAGTATTTGGGCTTTAGTATAGATAGTTTGTGTACTTGTTTTTGATGTATTTTTTGTTCACTTTGGTAAAGGGGGATGTTAAGTTGTAATAACCAAAGTGATCAATAAGTGTTGTACATAAACTATAAATAAATCCCCTAGGGTTGTGACTAGTTAGTTTGGTGATAAGTCCGTATTTAGACACGCATTTGATGCGTGTTGGGATCGGCTTTTGATGGTTTTCCTAGCTTTAAGGTGTTGCAAGTCTCAATTTTAGCTCAAGTTATGTTTACCAGGCGTTGGTTCGAGTTTTGTGTCATTTGTAGTCAAAATCAGGAATTTAGAGTTCGGCACCGGCGCTTGAGGAGCAATCGGCATGAGTTGAGAAGAATTCAAGATTGATTTGAGAGCTTTGGAGGTCAATGGAAGGTGCACGATGAAGATTTGATGGCAAAAGAGCTCTAGGATTGGCTACGGGATCAAAACAAGATGAATGAAGCTTGAAAACGACGATAGGATGACCTTCTGTAATCGTTCAAGCATATCTCCTTGTAGAAACATACAAAGAACACGATTCAAAGTCCACATGAAAGATAACTTCAAGGGATACGAATCATATGAAGACACCTTTGCGAGAATCTGATAGGAAAAAGGGGAAAACAGACGATGAAGTCAGATGATCCCTGTCGCGATTTCAGAATGCGATCTTCCACCATTTTATTCATATCTCTTGATTGGATGATTCAAATCCAATTCGGCAAGTTGTGGTGAATAGAAGACTTCTTTATCTACAACTTCCATGAAGGAAGTTTTGTCAAATTCGGACTAAAGAAAATGGAGAAAAACAAAGACGCACGACCGTGCGTAGAGGACGCACGATTGTGCGTGAATTACGACCAAGCGAGAACCTACTGCGTGCTACGCACGATCGTGTGTAGACAAGGACACACGATCGTGAGTACCCCCGTTTTACGCGAAATTCAGTTCTAGTTCGGCCAGAATTCATTAATTTTCCCTTTTTTCTATAAATAAGGCCTCCATACTCCTTTTTGAGGGTTACGAACATTACGGAGAGGCCTAAGGAAGAATTTATTCATTGTTTTCCGCTATTTTACTCCAAGAACGTGGGATTCTTTGTAAGTTCATTCTTTTTAATTAATGACAATTTATTCTATTCATCTCAATTCTATTGATTCTTCAATTATGAATTGTGTGTAGTTTAATTAGGGATTGGTGAAGGGGTTGATTATGATGTATGAGTGGTATGACTAGTTTCTTGATGGATTAATTGCATGAATGCCGTTTAATTTGTGTTTGAATAATTTAACTGATATCTTTTGTAACCTAGAACGGCCGCTAGAATTACAATTGCTTGTAGAATAAATTAAGAGAGATCTAGTTTATTCTAAGACACATTCACACACACTTAATCGTTCGCTAAGAGATTAGTAGTGATTAAGGGGCCGTAAGCTCGCTCGTCTTGGCAATAATTTAGGATTCTGTCGCATGAGAGATCAATTTGGTCCCCTAAATTATTGTACTCTACGCTGCGAGAGCGGTAAGAATTTAGTAATGATTTGCTAGCCTCAATTAAATTAATTTCATGTAATTAAGCCTGATTTGCTAGAAATCTGGTTACCCCGGAATCAATCCATGTTCCTTTCGTCGTTAATCGAGAAGAAAATCAATCTTTTTATTTAAATGCTTATTCGCATTAGTTTAATTTCCATTCCAATCATATCTCGCACGACACATTTATTTTATTTCTTTTTAATCGCCGAATTTAGTTAATCTTTAATCCCTTTTTGTCCGTCCCTGTGGAGACGATACTCGTACTTACACCACTATATTACGATCTATTTTAAGTGCGAGAAAACTCACATCATTCAGCCTCTCTACCATCATCTTGTTAGAATATTATTCCGTTTTCTAACTAACTGCCCCAACACTCCTAAATTACATGTTTGGATACCTCTATTATCCATCACACATAACACTTGATTCATATTTTTAATAGGCTATTAAGAGGTTATCACTTGATCACATGTCCACCTTATTCTCATTTCACTAGATTTTCACCCGCGCGATGCGCGGTCCATATTATCGAATAGTTATATAATCTTATTTATTAACGTTATTAGTGCATGTGCAAATGATATTTTTTTATACGCATGTAATATATATGAACAATATACAATAATTATAGAGAAAAACTATAGTTATCACTAATAATAGGTATGATTTATATATTAGGATAAGAGGGAAAAACGAAACACACAATAAAATTCGAAACACTTGTTTGTAAACATTTGAAGAATACAATGAGATCTACAAAGACTAAACATTTCGAAAGACTTCTTTGTAAACAACATTTCTAGTACGGTCAATGCTTTTCTAATCTTCACCGCAAATCAATATCTTCAAACTCTTACGATTTGTCACTTTAGATACTGCCACATACAATTGACCATGCGTAAGAACAAAATTTTTATTTACATAATGTAACATTTTTACACCTACGATTTACAATGATAAGAAAGATAGATAAAATTATATTATTCAATACAAACACACACATTTAAGAAATAATAAAAATCACAACAATTTAAATTTAAATTATATAAAATATGAAATTATACAATTATACAAAATTTACAGTGTATAACATATATACATGTAAAAATATCAGAATATAAATATATAAAATATGTAAAATATCTAAATAAATATAAATATATAAAATATTAAAGTATCATGACTTTTCACAAAAATATATACACATTATGTTCTGTTCAATACATTTTCTTATCAGCCTTTTAATTTTAAAATAAAAGAAGCCCACTTGAAAAAAAATCCGAAATCCAGCCCAGCCCAGCCCACGTACCCCGTTTAGTACTGCCCATTTAAGACCCAACAAAACCAACCCTACTCTCCCTCCGCTACTCTAGTATTCGTCGGTTCCAGAAGAGTCATTGGTTAAGCTGATGCTCTCTGGAACCATTCGTCCTTTCTCCCTTTGCTATACAAACTTCGTCCCTTCTCCGTCGATATGTTCATCCACACATAGCTTCTCCCTTGATGTTCATCGTCCAAACGTCCCCTCCAGTTCAATTGTCCGGCCGATATGCATCCTTTCGTTCCTACATCGTTTGTGAATGGTGCGGGCTCAAACAATGACGGCAACCGTTAAATAGACCCGTGAACGTTGATGGGTATATATATTATCTTCGTCCTCGATCTAATTGTTGAATTTGCATCTGATTGATAACATTTTTTATACGATTTATGGTATGATTTATAAATTTGTTTAATCTCATTTGGTTTTATTACATATTTTCAAATGGCAGTGAGTATATGATTAACAAATTTGTTTAAATTGGTTTGAGCGGTTACCGGAATCCAATTTTAAAAAGGGTTTTCAAAATTTGTAAATATGTTTCACTAAGATTTACTTTTTACACTAAATTAAACCAAATATAATTAAATAAATTCAAATTTAAAAGTTTTTAGTTTGTTAGTGTCTAAAGTTATAAATCATGATCCAAAGAGTAAATGCTAATAACTTGAAAGTCATGAAGCATTAGTTTTTATAAGTGTAGACGTAACACTAAGATGTATAGAGTACTACATACTACATATATTTTTACTTCATTGGTATTTTCTCTAATTCTTATATTCATTTTTAAAAAAATTGAAAGTTAATTAGAGTTAATAAAAAGTACCACTTTGTTACTACTATGTTACACTCCGTATTTAATTTAATCATATTTTCTAAGTATCTAGACATTAACATGTTTCTTAGTTTAAAAGTTTCAATTGCATACTTATTATTTGACTTACATCTGTATAATCTAACAGGTAAGAGAATAAACGAATTTATGAATAAATGTTTGCTCGATCATATATTATTTATTCATTAGATGTGGTAGGTAGTGAATACTTATATTAAAAAAATGAATTGTATACAACTTACCAATAACGATTTTACAATTACAATTATAGGAATAATAACTTTACAAATGTAAATTTTTATTTGTTTAGCATTAAGGGAATGTTGAGCTCTATCTGAGAATGAGTTTGTAGCTCTTAGTCTCTCAGGCCTCTGTTTTGTTAGTATGCTCCTTATTTGTTGATCCTTCTCAAGTGACATAAATAGTTGGGTTGGTTTACATTCCTGATCTTTATCATATTTAAACTGCAATCCAGAAAAAATACAAAATAGATACACGGTAATAGAGTATTTTAGAGTCAAAAGACACAAATCAGTTGCTTCAAGTTCAGAATTTCAAACACAAAAATAAAACTTTTGTTAAGTTTTAACAAAAACCAAAAGAGATTGTTTTCCATCCATCTTCTTCTTCCTCCTGCACTCCCGTACTACTCATCTTGTTTGCTTACTATTTTCATTCTCTTGTGTTGGGCATTATTAGGGTGTTTGAACCCTGAGATTCTTTTTCATTGGTTCATCTACATCATTAACCACATACTTCTTTAAGTTTGGTGCAGGACTTTTCAAAAGCATTTCTACTCAACCTATCCCACATTTATGTATTTAGGATTATTATTTGGTATTTCGTATAAATGCAAAAACAATCACATATTTTTTTTAATTATGAATCCAAAATATTACCTTCTTTAGTTTGTTGACTGTCCAGACTTCCCTTTGCTGTAGTAATTTCCAAGTTAGTTGCAATAGCAACACTCTGAAATAAAGCCAAAATTAAGATACTTATTGTTGATCAGTATGAATATGGAAACTTATAAAATGTAAAAACACTGGAAAATGCATGCATTTTTTATTTTTGACATTTTTTTTACATTTGTAGTGAAAAAACGACTTTGTACCTGGCAGAGTGGTAGAGATGGTGGAGAAAAGTTTCAAGCTTATACTCTGGACTTTGTAGCTCAAAAGACTTGGTGCTGAGATATGTGTGGTGGTGAGATTTGCGTTGTGAGGTGTCTGATTTATAGTAGAACATAGGTGGTGTGCTATCTATCTTAACCTATACGGAAACCCGTTAAATTTTTGTTTGAATTCTGCAAATATCTTTTGGACAAATCGGTAGTGTTTGATGAATCAAATCTCATTTAATATATGTTGTTTCCTATTTTCGAAAAACTCCCAACTACCTTAAAAGTAGTTTAAATTGACGACCTATATGAAGAATGTTGGTCATAGTAAAATCAAGGCTTCATAGGCTAGTCTTTGAGAAGATGCCATTTGGACATTTTGCATTAAATGCTCCATAGTTGAATGGTACACGTTACATGTGCTTCTGTTTCAGAACTTAATGCATTCTTGCTATATTTAATGTATTATGTCACTTCATCAATCCCCAATGCAATATACTTGTTCACATTTCGAATAGATTGAAGGAAATTCATTTAATGAGCTCCAAGTCTCCAACCAACAACTGCCTGGATTCCATGATGCAATAAACCCGACCCCTTTTCTCGTGACCCGACCCAGTGAATACCACCTAATTTTGGGCGGGAAACCCACCTGGTTTTCCACCTCTTTTTATATAGAGGTAGATTACTGCTTCATCCCAACTCATTAAAATGCCACTGCCACATCACTTTACAATTCATATTTTATTACTTTTATACTTTAATTTTTCTTATTTCAACAATTCCAACCCACCGCCACAACCCTACCACCATCATCTTCGTAAACATCATCACCAATTGCTAACATTGCAATTTTTTTTAAAGAAGTATCTAGGAAAATGTGTTTGAAGTCAGCTAATTTTTTTAAAGAATCTTGACCAGAGTTAAATATATCCGATTAGATCAGATAAAAGGATTAGCTCACGCTTCGATAATTATAAAATTTACAAGGAAATTTCTCTTTATACACGCCTCGTTTTACATGTTGTAGGAGTTGGTCGGATAAAGATATTTTCTTTTGGACTGTTTTCAGTCCTAGACCAGACCATACCAGACTTACACAGACCAGACCAGACTTAAACAAACCAGACCAGACCAGATCAGACTTCCGTAGTTATAAAATACATAGAGACCAGACGTTTACCAGACCAGACCAGACTAGTTCAGACCAGACCAGACTTAAACAGACCAGACCAGACCAGCAAATTTCAGTCCAAAAGAAAACATCCTAAACCTGCAAAAAAAAGCGTTAGAAAATAATATAGCTCGAGTCGCGTAAACGCTGTTCTCAAGAAAATATTTCCGACTAGCGAAAACCTTTCCTCAAGATAAAACGAGTTCTTCGGCGTAAGCCTGTAACACCCCACCCGGATCGACCCCGCCGACCCGAGCGGTTTGTTACCGGGCCGAAATCAAAACTGATTTAATTAAAGACTTATTATAATGGACTGTATTTAACAAAAGCATAACTTTATTAAACATACATAATGCTAACATCGTAACATTATTTTAACTGCAGCGGAAGGTTTTATCAAAATAACCATTCAGAGTTTATTTCAAAATACATATTCCATATTATAAAGAACCCCAAAACACACCATATGCATGTGAGACCTATGCCTCCCTTCATCCCGGTGCTTCATGTTCATCTTGGGCTTGACCTACGGATAGGAAAAAAACAAACAACTACCCGCTCAGCAATGTGCTGAGTGGTACGGTAATAACACATAAAACATATCGAAGCATATAACAAACATATCATAATTAGCATGTGATCATTCAAACAAATAACCATACCTGAGTGAACTAGATAAACTTTCATGTATTTTAGAATATAAAACAAATTCAGATTCCCGATTATCAGATAATGTATCAAATTAATTTATTTAGCCTTTAACTCAAGAAACTGGACCTAGACAGTGGAATACTAACGGTAAGGAATACAGTCTCGTGTCTGTACCCACATTACCCAGAAAGGATATGGAAACGTAATCGCCGGAGCTACACGTACCAATCCCTGACAGAAGGGAGCTGAACAGAAAGGACGAGATCACCGAAGAGACCCGATCCTTAACAAAAGAGTAATGGTGTTCTAAAAAGATTTCAGGAGTGTACGCGGTACACTAAACAGGAGAACACTAATTCCTCTAAAACAGAATTTCAGGAATGTACGTAGTACACTAAACAGAACAGAAGTATCCACGTCAGAGTACCAGACCAAGAGTGAGGCTTTTTCAGAAAATATACTTTAATATATTTATTTAATCATCGATACTTACATATGATGTTTGAACTAACTTAACGTAACAAATACTCCGTAACATATAGGCTACGTATGTAGTACTACGTACTTATTAGTGCATATGGGTTTGCTAGAATTTAACCTTTTATTTATCCGTATATATGTATCTGGATCCAACTAATTTATGCATCTTATATTTTATATTTAGTTTACCAAAGTAATAATAATACACGGCATATAAGTAGCATATAATAATATTAACTAATCACATGCATTCATTTGAGAGGCCATATATACTTACGTAATTTAGGTTACGTATGAATACTATGTACGGATAGCCTAGTACTTGCATCATTAAAAACATTTCACTAGCTAACTACGTATAACTGATTTTGATTAGTTCTGCTAAATTTTACGTAGTACATACTAAGGATTTTTAAAATTCAGTATTCCATAAATTCAAAGAATACACTTTTAAAACACATAAGATATCACAAAATTATACCATGTTCATCATCCCCATAACACAACAGGAAACGGGGACGGAAATAACATAATAATCTAAACGGAGCGGGAACGTACTGACCCTTTTATGTACTATATTGATTCGAAATTCTTTTCCCAGCTAGCTCGTTCCTTTCTTGCTCAATTGTGAGTAAAATCCTTCCTATCTTAAATTACTAAAGCGTTGGCCGAATTGTGTGTTTTGTGTGAACAAGGAACAATTCTGATATATATATAGTGTCTAAGTGTCACTGTCCTTGAAATTGCTAGGAGATGGACGTGTCTTTTATTCTACGTGTGTAATACAAGAAGCTCCACTTCATAGCTATTCTGAATTTATGTGGAATAAGCGAAGCTTTGGTCATTAGGAGTCTAAGCTTCAAGATAAATCCAAGTCTGGCACCTATGTTCATTCTCCTACACGTCGTATATACATATAAACAAGTGTATTGTTTATTTAGTTCCAGCACATCATATGACTCACCTAAAAACTTAACTTACTCATCATTTTCAGAAAGGTTTTTTTCATTTTAATTTAAAGAGATAATATACACTACCTAAATACGACCTTAGAATTTATTTAAAAGTAAGAAGTAAATTTTAAGCTATTTTAAGAATTTAATTTCTAACTTCTCACATTACTTTAATTTATTACTAATACGTGAAAATAGGTTGGATATTAATTTCAAAGTTAAACAAGATTAATGATTAATTAAAGATAATCTTTGAGATTATATTTTTATGTAACTTAACAACTAGACCGGATTTTGGGGCGTTACAAAGCCGGTAACAGAACAACGAGAGTAGAATAATATTAAGGAAAAATTCACAAGAATAATCCCACCTTTCACCGGTCTTCTCATAATAATCCCACCTTTAAATAATCCCAAAATAATCCCACCTTTGCACCTCATCTTCTTTCATTGGACCCTGACCATGTTTTTTACTCTTTTTTTGAAAATCATATAAATGATCTCACCTTTCACTTTTTTATTATATCTTTATAAATGTAAGATTATTTATATAAGATTCTCAAAAAAGGTAAAAAAAACATGGTTAGGGTCCAATGGAAGAAGATGAAGTGCAAAGGTGGGATTATTTTGGGATTATTTAAAGGTGGGATTATTATGAGAAGACCGGCGAAAGGTGGGATTATTCTTGTGAATTTTTCCTAATATTAATCTTGCAGACCGTATAAAATATGTTTTGGTAGCTACTCAAAAATAAAGACTAAAGTCTTCTCTTAAGAATAATAATGGATGAATAATTTTGGCTCATTCTTCTACTGTTCTACACAAAGAAACATGCAGGTGGCCATATATATATATATATATATATGATTTTCAGAAGATAATTGCACCCTTTATATACATATAAAACGCAGTTATCTTCCAAAAATCGTTTGGCAGCCTTCCCGATTGAATTTTTTGCTGAAATTTGGTATGGGTGTACTAGACTTGATGACGAACATGGTCAAAAAATTTCATCGAAAAATTCCACCGCGAAAGCCCTCAAAACGCGGAGGCCGCACGGCGGCTTCGGTAAGGTATACCTTACCGGAAAAGATTTCCTATATATATATATATATATATAATAAAAACGTTTATTATATATATATAATAAAAAAAGATGATAATAGAAAAGATGATATAATAAAGATTTCCAATTTATTATATATATATATAATAAAAAAGATGATCCTTGCTACCATGTGAAGAAGAAACGTTTAGCCATAATAAATTGGGAAAGTTCCCGAAATGGGACTAAAAAAGTTTGAAAATTTCAAAATAGGACTGTCATGTTTTTATTCCCAAAATAGAACTAATTACTGCCAAATTTGGAAAATACTGCCATGTTTGAAGTCTAGTACTGCCAAAACATGACAGTAATAAGTCCTATTTTGGGAATAAAAACATGGAAGTCCTATTTTGGAATTTCCAAACCTTTTTAGTCCCATTTTGGGTAATATCTCTAATAAATTTGTGTAGTGGCCGGATGTTTTAATTAATGTTATTAAAATATGATTAATGTTTGGTTATTAAATTTCAAACGGTCAGCATAGTAACCTACGGTCACATTCCAATTACATGAAACAAAGACTTTTAATTTTAACAAAATAAATATTTTATTTGCAAAATATGATTAAATTATAATTTATCATAATAATTAAAATAAATAATATTTTATTCATTTGAAATACTCTCAATTTTTCCAACATTACATACCGGGTCATTCGCTTGTCAATTTGACCGGCGTTTTATGAAGAAAACTCATTTTCACACAGAGAAGAATAAAAAATTTGTCTGTATCATAGATATTTTAAAATTATCGTTTAAAAATTGTGTGCATCACAGACATTTTATTTTTGCCAATGTAGAAA